TTTTTACGATCAATAACCTGGCTCCTCCCCAATCTAACAGACTTATTTTTATCATTTTTCAAATTTTTCTCACAAACCTTCAATAGTGTTCTTATCTTGAATTTTATACTCAATCTTTATTTAATGAGCTATTATTCATCATTACCATTGCATAAAAAAGTTTGTATAACATGATTTCTATATTGTGTTATAATGATAGAAGAAGATGAGCAACAAATATGTTTTTTTTTTGGTCTAAAGTTGGTCAACTATGAAATATTAAAAAATTTGAAAAAATTTCTTAAAACTGGCTACTAGTGCAATTAGTTTTAATCCTCAGTACTAAGAGGCCCATTGGACCAAAGACAGTTTCTAAGCCCATTTCGAAAAACCCTAGGGCATTAATTTCAGAAGTATAAAAGCCTCCTCTCCCAACTACTGTCCATTTCTCCTTCGTTCGCAGCTTCACAAAATCGAAAATGGTTTCGTTGAAGCTCCAGAAGCGGCTCGCCGCTAGTGTCCTCAAGTGTGGAAGAGGCAAAGTTTGGCTTGATCCTAATGAAGGCAATGAAATCTCCATGGCCAATTCCCGTATGTTTCTGTTTTCTGTTTGTTATCAATATCTATTTACGTTTATGCTATCTCTTTTAATCTCTTGTTTGTATGTTATGGCTTCTGATTGTGAAAGATCTATAGTAGGTTTTGATCAGTTTAGCTCCAACGATGCTTAGGTTATGTTACTTTATCGTTTCGCCGTCTTTTCTTGTGTGGAGTGTTTAATTTTGGAATTTGATCAACCGTAGTGTTGTTTTAACCACATATACTCTGATGTCGACCAGTTCAGATCCATAGAAGCATTGATTATTTGTGTTGAGGTTTTAGGTTTGGATTTTGATCAAACATTACAATGTTTCAACTGAATATACTGTTGAGGTATATTTTTGTCGTAGAGTTTGATCAGTTAAGCTCCAGTGTACCATAGATTAATTTACTGTTACTATCAATTTGCCTTTTGTTAGAGTTGCTGTTTTGAATTTGATCAGTATACTCCTTATGCATTGTTCACAAGATTAGCAGCATACTAATGTTTTTTTATTTATGTCTACTGTGTCAGCTTAGAGTGATATTTTTTAGGTTTTTGCATTGAAAACATATTTGTTTTTGGTAAACATGATTAACAAGGATGGTTGTTCTAGTGTTAAATGGATGCGAATAAACAATTATGCTGATTTTTTGGAAAACTGAAGATGTAGTGGATTGAAATTATTGGCAGATGTGGATAGGTTATGTGACAAGTTATATTTGCTGAAGTTTTTGAGTCGTGAGATTGAAATGTAATTGAGCTGTATATGTTCATTACAACACTGTCATTGTAATTTAATCAGTAATGATGATAGGTTACTAAACAGTGGGATGAATTAACTGCAATTATCTTTGTTATTGGTAGATGTCAATATGGAAAGATACCTATTTTGTGGGATTTCATTGGGTATGTTGTTGTATTGGCAGATATTTATTTGGTGTTGCTGCTTTGCGTTATTTGCCTCTTAATCTGATGTTTAGATGACAAAGTGATATTAATGTTTACTCAATCTAGATAACTAGAACATGTTTGCTGGAACAAGCTTATTGGTTGAGCTTGTGCAAGCCAGTTGCAATCCTTGTAGCTCTCCCTATGTCATTGTGCCAACTATTTTTTGTCATATTTCTATGAACTGCCCGTAATCCCTTCCTTTCCACTTAATACAGGTCAAAACATCAGGAAATTGGTTAAGGATGGTTTCATCATCAGGAAACCAACCAAAATTCACTCGAGATCTCGTGCTCGCCGAATGAAGGAGGCCAAGAGGAAAGGCCGTCACTCTGGATATGGTACATCCTTGTCTTGACTGTGATTGCAGAAACTCATTTTTCATGCCCTAATTCAGTTTTTAGGTAGCTCTATCAGTTTGCTGTCAACCATTGGGCATTGGTTTTTTTCTTCTTCCAAATAGTCGTTAAAATGTTAGAAGGACTTGGATTTGATAACTCATTTCTCAATCATAATAGAGAAGAATATAAGAGGTGAACTTCCTATGAGAGTCTTTGGCCATAGATGTCATCTAGGCCAATTGAAGTGAGATACAGGAAATATAAGCCTATATTTAGTGTCACTTCATCTTTTTTGTCCTAACTAAATAGTTTTGTGTACTCCATACCTCAAGAAGTTATTTCAATGTAGGCACCTTTTTGGTTGCTTGGTTTGAAAGATTATCTTGCTCATATATTAACTGGCTAGAACTATGCCATTTCTCTCTTCTTTGTAACTAATGAATATTAGCAGGTGAAATTGCTCTGTTGGCTGATGTCTGTTCTTTTCTCAGGTAAGCGCAAAGGTACCAGGGAGGCTAGACTGCCTACCAAGGTGCTTTGGATGAGGAGATTGAGAGTCCTCAGGCGTTTGCTTCGCAAGTATAGGGAATCAAAGAAGATTGACAAACACATGTATCATGACATGTACATGAAGGTGAAGGGTAATGTTTTCAAGAACAAGCGTGTGCTGATGGAAAATATCCACAAGACAAAGGCTGAGAAGGCTAGAGAGAAAACCTTGTCCGACCAATTTGAGGCTAGGAGGGCAAAGAACAAGGCAAGCAGAGAAAGAAAGTTTGCAAGGAGAGAAGAACGTTTGGCTCAGGTATTGTTTGAAGCTCATTAAAATTTCTAGGGAAAAGTTGGCTCTGACACTTGATGGAGTGCTCTACTCTACTCCATGTTTTATGGTTTTAAGAAACGTTTCATGCAATTATGGGATTTTATGTCCTTTTAAATAACTGCATAGGATTTTTTCTCATCTTTTCTGTTTCAAATTTCAGGGACCAGGAGGAGAGAAGCCAGTACAACCTGCAGCACCAGCCGCTGCTGCACCAGCCCAGCCAGCCCAGTAAGTTCATCTGCTATATTAATTGTAGTTTCTCCTAGGGCCTAGTTTGAACATCATTTGATGAGAATATGTCTTTTCAGGGGATCTAAGAAGTCGAAGAAATGAGCGTGATGAATTGTAAGGAGGGTTGGCGCTATGCCTACTTTTTGTCCTTGTTAGTATGGCAGTTTAGTATGTTTGATCCCTTTGCCCTTTTTGGCCTTTTAACTTTAAAAGACAATGTTACTTGTACTGAATTTGAAAGCTGGTTTAAATTTTTGATACGTTGATCCTTTTATATGTTTTAATCGTTTTTCTCCAGAGTTATTTTGCATTGTATTGAATTCTTCTTCTTGTTGCATTTCTCTCTTTTTTTTGCTAGTTGTGACTATTCAATGGAATATAGTCCTTTTATGGACGAGAGTCATTTGCTCTGATTTTAACTGTTGCAAGACAAATTCACGACTCTTGTTCATCAATGTCTACAAGGAAAGGGACTTGAATTTTAGCTTATTTGCCTGATTTAGTGTTGCAGTTTCCCTGTATGTTACGTAGATTGTTCAACTGTCTTTATTACATTCTCAGTAATGCTATACTCCCCCCTCCCCCTCTTAAAAGGGTGACCTAATTTGACTTGGATCGGAGTTTAAAAAAATAAAAAATATTTTTAAATTTTGTAATTTTAAATTAAAGTTATATTGAATGTATCAAATATTTTTTAAATTTTGTGATCTTAGATAGAGACATCTTTTTTGAAACGGAAATAGAGGGAATATTGTATTTGGGCTTCGCACATGTTGGAAAGAATATCTTTTCTGTTGAAAATGTGAGATACAAAATAGTCATGTTGTGTTGATAGACATCTTAAGAAATCCTTAGATGGTAGATGTTGAGTCAAAATTTGCAGTTTATAAAATGAGGACAGTATAGTTCAGTCACTGTACAAATTTATTGTTGTAGCATACGCGACTCACGAGTATAACCAATGTTCATTGCATATCCGTGATGTTGAGCTTTTGGATGACCTATTGCAATTCATTATCTTTAGAAAGTGATATAGTAAAATTATTTTTTTATTTGTAGTGTTTCAAGAAGTGTGCTAATTTCAATATATTTTAATTTTTTCATCTCAATTTATACCAGGTGGATTCAGAATAATTATTTATTAAAGTTTGAGATGAACGTATGAATTTTTTTTTTATATTTTGTACTTTTTCTTAATGAAGTTCAGAGTTTTTTAGGAGACGAATTACATACTTATTAAGTTTTATTTATGATTCCATAAAGAAGAACAGTAAAAATACAATTTAAATTATATTTTTTAAAATATATATATTTTTGATAAGTATACATTACTTTACCTATTAATTTAATAATGAAATAGAGGAAGTAATTACTTAATAGGAGTAATCATAAAATGAGTAATGTCACCCCATTCTACAGCAAAAAAGTGGTCGATCCAAGACTGTCCAGTCCACTGGTGATAAATCTCACCGACGTCTCTCGCACTTCAAGAAATATAAATATAAATAAAAAATAAAAAATAAAATTCTTGGATTTGTATATTCACACGCTAGAGTAATATTAGCTCAAAAGCAAGCTTTCTAAAATGTAAACTTTGATTTTAGTGATTTGTGGTATGATAAATTGATAATTATAGTTTGCTCAATTTTAATTTTATATATATAAAATATTTGATTCGAATTTAAAAAAGTATCTCAATTATATCACATTAATGAATTATATATGTAAAATTATATATCAAAAAAAAATAAAATATACAAACATCTTTCTTAATTATCAATTACTTATAAAAAAAATCACTCAAAATTCCAATAGTTTTGTATCAAGTTATATATTTGTTAGTATTATATAATACATATAAATTGTTTCCGTATATATTTCTACGCAATATTAACATACTAGTATTTCATTTTAAATATTAAATATCAAATATTTGTTGAATACCTAAATATTTCTATATATCATTAATATATATTAAATATCATAATATTAAAATTATGAAATTAATTTTTTTAATTGAATATCATAATTTATTATTCATCATACTACTCCATATATCCCTACCACCATATTATATATGAGATTGATGCCTTTTAAAATGAAAAAAGTGAGTGAACAGATTTTATTTTATTCCAACGATTCTCTTCTCCAAAATAGGGCCCGATGATAAGAGGACCACCACAAATCGTCCAGAAATGTACCACCGGCATTGTAACTGTTAACCGGACCAATATAGTTCAACGAACTCACCGTCACGATCTCCGGCAGCTTAGCCGGCGTGATAGTCTAAGGCTCTTCTCCTCTGACCACCGGATTCTGAAGTTTTGTACATCGGAGGAGGCGCTCCTACCTAGGTTGGTGGCAGCAGCTAAGCTTCAGGTACGAAATTCTCTTTCACGTGTAGTAACCCAACTCTGGCGAGTTCAGTCAGTTCTTTTTTCAAATCTTACTTAGACAAAGCAGTATAATCTGTGCTGATATCATGTAAATACAGAGCCAATGGATCAATTTCCTTGTAGTTATTATTCGAAGATCCCTCAATATCTCTACCTTTGATTATGCTATGAATACTATGGGTATATGAATGGACTGTACATTTTGTAAACAAGTACAAGAATATTAACACTTAATTTTTTGTCGAGGACTGCGTTTATAATGAGGTTGATACTTTTTATAAGCCTTGATCGGAGCCTGGTATAGGATTGATAATTTTCCTTCTAATATAAAAAGTATGAGTAGAAGGGCTCATTCCAGAAGTTTTTCCTTGAGGTGAAAGGGGAAGGGGCAATGGTACTTATGCAGAGTCGGGTTAAATGAGTTCTGCGGATAAGTGATTCGGTGCAAGCTCCTGCTGATGACATTGATGTAGAAAATCCATCTAGAATTGATTGAGCTAAGTGTTGAATCATAAGTAGGAGGGATAGCGCTTCCTTTTCTCTTTATATGTTCTTTCACTACTTATGCCTTATAGCGAGAAAAATAAGCTTCTTCCAGCTTCTGTCATGACTTCCCTTCCACTTTCCTGAACTCTTGCAGGACTTGATTTGCGGGAGATGAGGTTTAACTCCTATAGCTTTCCTTCTAACCATGCACACAAAAATGCCACATGTTTGATGTTTGAGTAGGGTCACTAAGGTCTATGTCAGTGCTTTGTTTAAGTGAGTGGTATGAGCACCTACTTTAACATTTCATATTCTAACTAATAAGACTTGGAACTTAATCTTTATCAGAAAAGTACACTTAACAGCAGTTCCCAGTACTTGTTACTAACTGAAATCAGAATTCTACCTAGACATATTATGTAAATGATCTTTTTTGTGATATTTACTTTTCCTGATAGCATCAAGAGTGTTATGTAGGAAGTGATGATGGACCAATTGGTCTAGAGAGCTGTCATCTCCTTTTTATAAGGACATGACCAATCCATCCCTCAAGTATATGGTGAAGGATTTGTTCTCTCATTTTCTCATTGCTATATCTTCTTCTTTCTTAGAAGTTACAACCTGAGACTAGATTAATGACCACCTCTCTACCTCCCCCTTAGGATTTATGCTGCTATCTGGCGACCTACCGAAACAGATGATCCTTCTTCCTCTTCCCCTCTCCCCAACCTCCCCAATTATGGCTTTTACCCTGATTTATTGTACACTTGGTAATTATTTCCCTGGTTTATCATATAATTTTGTCATTTTGTGTGGTTCAATTCTGATAGATTTACGTCTTGCATGTAAAGTTACTATGGTCATTTATCCACTGCATAATAAATCGGGTCAAATATCAGAATATAGAATGTCTCACCTATGATCTTATACAATACAAATGAGATATCCTAACTAATCCTAATTTTGTAAACCAAACGATGGCCAATTTTGCTTTCTTGGCTGACCTTTATTTTTAAAAGTGGACAAGATTACTACTGTCCTATGGGAAGCCTAAACTATTTGATTTCTTTATTTGTGCTCATGCTTTTAGGAAGAAGCTCCTCAAATGCTGGACACTTTACCTTCATTCGAAGTTTCCCCTGGTCTGACTCATCCACTAGGAGTATCAGAAATTGAAAGTGGAATAAATTTTGCAATTTTTTCGCAGCATGCTTCTGCAGTTACACTTTGCATAATTCTTCCAAAGAGGTTAGACTCACGCTTTTGGATGGTATATTTTGTTGTCTTTAATTCTGGTCTTAGTTGCAAATTCTAGATATTAAATTCTACTACTGTTAATCCTGCCTATTAAATTTGTTAATGTTGAGATATTATTTGATTTGCAAAATCAGAGTGATTTGATATTACTAGGATTGGTTTTGTAAATATACACCAACCAAAAATGTATACAAGGTGTAATAGTAGTAATCCCATCCAAGCTTAAGGGAACAATCAAGCTTTCCGTTTCTTCTCATTCTTTTCCCAATGTTCAATGGTATTAGACTCAGAGGAATTCTCATATGATCTTTCCTTTCCTTCTTATCCTCCAAATCCTCTGGATGGAAAAGATAAACTTCCGTTCTGCCCAATTTAATCTGGAGGTGTAGGAGTAAGTTGAGCGTCACCTCCTATACAAGAAGTGTGACAGGGCTCGAGTGACCTTAGACCGTGAAGCTCATCACCAACAGCTTTCTTGTCCCCGTCAATGCATCGATTTGCCTCACCAGAGCTTAATCCATGTGCAGATGCGGGAGACAGAATTCTGGCATCTCTTCTGACTGAGCTCACCTGACAGCGAGCCATATCCAGTGGTCTCCTTTTCCGATTCATCACTTGTGACTCCAAATCACCTCAAGGATCTCTGGGAAATACCCGAGGGTCTTTCCGAAGCAACCTCTCTACCTCCACAAGGTAGTGGTAAAGTCTGGATACATTCTACTCTCTTTAGACCTTCACTTGTGGAATTTCAGTGGGTATGTTGTTGTAATATGAATAATTCTAACCTAACATAGATTGGATTATGGAAAGCCAGTGGGTTAGGTTGTTTTCCATGCATACTGGGAGATAAATAGGAGAGGTTGAAGAGAGGGGTATGGGATGCCTTACATTATCTATTCCAATATATTTGAAACGGGAAGGACAACATATGCCCTTCTTAATTCCCCCCCTGTAATTATATCAACAAGGAGGTGGGTGGGATGCCAAATGTAAGTAAAAGCTTTCTGAACAGCATAGGAACGTTTCATCTTAAATTCAACTTGTAGGTATCGTCACATCCCTTCATCTATTGCAACATTTCATCTAAGATGGAGAAAATCTAGAAACTATGTTAATGAAATGGTGTTAAACATTCTGGTGAACCCAGCATAACCTTTTCTGCAGTAATTGACGTTGTATCACCTTGAGATACCATTATAAATTTAGTATGTAGTAAATGTTCAAAAGATTTGTTACACTTAGGATGAAGTACCATATATTTACAAAGACTTTGGAGTATTGAACAGTTTAAAACTACCTGTTCATTCTTCTTGCCAGGGAATAGTACTATCCCTGGTGAGCTCATGCTCATTTTTCTCATATATCATATGCACATCTGCGTAAAGCATGTTGAGTGAATATATGTTACATGGGAATGCTTGACAGTGTTCATGATGGAATGATTGAATTAGCATTGGATCCACAGAAGAACCGCACCGGAGACATATGGCACATATGCATTAAGGTAGTAATTTAACTATTTTATGTACCTTCATTACTGTATTCACTCAGCAATCTTCAAAGATTATATGATTTGGATGCTCATCGTATCATGTTGGCTGTCCACTTTCTACTCTCTTTTTGCTATTAATTGACCTGCTCCCTATTGTAGGCAGTGTCAAATGATTGATCTCCTTCCTTAATGAATACTCAAATGTGTCCATAGTTTCAATATAAAGTAAACATATTGTGGTTTTCTGTTACATTTTTAAAAGAGAAGTTAACATATTGTAGTTAGAACTGAATGTCATCCAATTGTATGTCCAATGATTATTTGAATTTAATTTATCTTTCCTGTTATTCTGTCGAATAAAAACATTTCAAATCCTTTCTGTAGAGTCATTGAGTTGTCCTAGTAAGTCAAATGACCTCACATATTTGGTAGGGTATCTAGCAATTCTTTGACCTTGACCTCACATGTTTCCAACTTTTATTGAGAATATCCCAACTAAGTAAAACACATAAACTAATGAAACTTTCTTTCCTTAAATTTCCATGCTGGAGCTGGAAGGAAGTAGTTCACTTCAGATAGATGCATGGAATATGGATCTTGCTAATCTGAAAGGATTAAATAAAGGGATAAATTAAGATGAAAGAGAAGTAATGTAAATGTTGATTGTGTTAATTAATATGATTTTAGGAGACTTTATTTTTCCTTTCCTAGCATTATTGTAGGAACAAAATATTTTTTTTTTATTGTAAATTGATTGTCTTTCCTTAGTAAGGGTCCATTGCAAACTACCCCTTCTCTTTAAGAACCCTAATTGATTGTAGTAGACCTAGTTAGCATATTAGGGATGATCATGTTTAAGCATATTAGGGATGATCATGTGTACTAGCAGATTCAATTCAAGAACTTGGATGATTGCGATCTAGACCCCTAATTGAATAATTAAAGACAATAATAATACAAGACTAGTTACATTCTCCACTTAATCGAATAAGAACCATATATATCAAGCAAAGAGTTTAATATTACCTCTTAAAAAATCGTTCTTGTAAGGTTGTACAAGAAATCCTAAGTAACCAATACACGAAGATATGAATAAATAAAATCTCAATTTTATTGATAGCTATTCTGTGTCAAAAAGAATGAAATCAACGTGGGTGAATCTAGGGTAAATTTCTAAAACACTATCCCAAATAGCACGAGATTCAATATCTACTTTATGGAAATAATAGATAATAAAACCTAACTAGGAAACTTTAAACTAGGAAAATTGAACTAGACAATTTTTAAACCAGGAAAACATGGAAGATTAATGTCACACTAATTCTAGAACTACCTAACAAAATAAGGAAAGAAGTGTCCAATTTTCTCCTGAAAATACGCCTATTCCAACAGACTTGTGCATGTATTTCAGCCTCTTTTGGGGATCCATACATGCTATTAGGTTGGCTATATGAATCTTCACTGACCATATTTCCTCATTTATGTTTAAGCTCATGTTAATCATATACTAAAATAAATAAAAGTGAAAATAAGTCAAATTTCATTCCAATTACTTCCTTTGTATTTATTTGTTCAGATTGGACTTCTAACTCGTTCAAATGCATAATTATCTTTAAGTTTAACATTCACTAGTATCAATTTTGTAATCACAAATTTCCTTGGATGAATCAATAGTTTCCCATATTTTTGTACTGTTGGAACTGTGTAATGAAGGTATACATTTCTCTTTTCAGCAGGCCTTTCCGTGGTTTCTATTTTACTCACAGTTTATGCTGCTATGTCACTATTATATGCTATTATTGTGCTTGCTATATAACCTTTTCTTACTGTATTATTTTTTCTCCGTCATCCGCAGGAGTTGCCCCGAGGTGGGGTCCTTTATGGTTATCGCATTGATGGACCTCGAAATTGGCATGAAGGGCATCGATTTGACGATAGCATTATTTTGATTGATCCTTACGCAAAACTAATTGAAGGTCGACGAGCTTTTGGAGATGAAAGCAATAAAATGTGTAGATTTTTTGGAACTTATGATTTCAATAGCTTGCCTTTTGACTGGGGAGAAAATTACAAGCTTCCAAATGTACCGGAGGTAGATTGAGAAGAACTACTTGAATAACTTTTTTCCTCGTGTGCAAATCTAAAGATAATTTGCTTGCATGTTCAGCTATTTGACTTATGAGCTATGACTAGTGACAGAGCTGTCATTTTGTAAGTGCTCAAATTGTCTGCCATTTAGTTGATCTTGTTATTTCAAGTAAGAGGAGTTTCAGCTTAATCTTCTGTAGTAATATTATTGGTTCTTTGGTAGATTGAGCTGTAAGATTATAGTACTTAGATCTTTTATAACATTTTACTCTTAAGGATAGTTCGATTTGCATTTTACTTATGAGTGGATTATAATGTAGGGACTGCTTGTGTGGTGATTAATATGTAACAGATTGCTATGCAGTCATTAACGATCAAGGAATTGTTGTGTAGTGATTAAGAGATTATTGCCATACAAGAATAACCTTTTTTTAGTGACATTCTTGTCTTTGAATAGTCTAATCTCTGTATGGCTAATACACGTATTCTTGTTTCACATTGTATCTAGTATATAATATCACATAGATTCTCGTATAACTGAAGTTGTATTATTTGGATACCACCAACCAAATGTTGCATTACATAATGCGCGATTGTGCAACCAACCAAATGTTGTGTTATTCTATGCCCGAATATTTGCTGGATTTGTTACCACACAATCAACCAAACCAACCATTAACTCCTTGCAGTATATCCTCTTTTCTTTGGGCAGAAAGATCTTGTTATATATGAGATGAATGTTCGTGCTTTTACTGCTGATGAAACAAGTAGTTTGGATCAAGATCAACGGGGAAGTTACCTTGGCTTAATTGAAAAGGTACTTCCATATTCTACTTGTCTATTTTCTCTTTTACCAACTACTAGCATTTCATTTGTTTGTTGAAGTTTGGTGTATCTTCCTTAATAGCAGTACTGCAAGTTACACCACGAGTTAACTTCCCAAATACTTACATTTTTGTTTTGGCAAGGTCCAATTTTAAAATTGCTTTATATGTTCTTTGGCCCTTTTTCTTAGATTAGATGTCTTTGATATTTTCATCATATACTAGTCACTTGCAGTAATCTGTTAAACTTATTTTAGTCTTTCAGTTATCTGACATTCATCTACAAATGCAGATACCACATCTTCTCGAGCTTGGTGTCAATACAGTAGAATTATTGCCTGTTTTTGAGTTTGATGAACTGGAATTACAAAGGCGACCTAATCCGAGAGATCACATGGTAAACATACCTTGTCTTTGCGCTTTTTAGCTGTTTTTTGTCTGGGCTTATTCTTTTCTGGTGATTTCTCTATTCTTAAGCTAGTTTATGATGATTATTCTTTCATACTTGAATTGTTTTTGTATGTGAGCATGCATCGTTGAGTCATATTATGCTTTCTCTGATTTTCACTATTTTGACATTTTTATGGCGTAGTGTATCAGTAAAATACCAATGCTTTGAATGGTAAAGATGGAATTAACATCCCACCTTTACTCAGAAATGCCTGATCACAATAGTAACTCAGATCCTTTCAAATGTGCCCAGGAAACTCTTATAGTGATCTGATTGAAACAAGCGATCAACTTTATATATTTATTTGGGAACCAATTGTGAAAAGAAAGAGGAGATTTGAGAATGAATTGCTGTATAACTCCCTCAAGCATGTTGGAGATTATATAATGTTTACAAGTAATCCAAAAAGAAAAAGAAAATAATGCTCATTCATATTTATACAGTTATACAGATCTGCACCTTTCCTATATTAACAAGGAATGGTGCCACAACCCAAAATCTCTAGCTGCATGATATGATCCTAGTTGGGAAACTAAGGATTCCAATGCGGAAAACAACACAAAATGAGGATAGGGGAAATTGATAGATGAAATAGAAGAAAGAAAAGATTTTTCAACTATATTATGTGATTGATCAACTTAGGATTGGTTACCTACACCTATCAATCAACAATCAAAGATGAATCAATCCAAGGGGGAAGGGAAACTTGAACTCATACATGAAAATCTAATCCTAGATTATCCTAGAGGGGCTCAAAGCAAAGAGATCAGGGAATTCACCCTCTAAACTAACCTAATATCCATAAAGGAGGAACTACACTCTCAAAGGAGTTCTTAAATCTTCAATCTTCAAAATATGAAAAATGAAAACAACTAAGATAACTATTTATACTTTTGCCTTACAAGCATAGCCCAAAAGTGGCATTTGCACAAATAGCAAAAATATCCCTTCCCTATTTGAGTTGCAATGCCACTTGCGACCGCAAGTAAAGAGATGCGGTCACATTTTGTGAGCGCAAGTGATCTCACTTTGATGCGATCGCTTTGGGTAGGATGTGGCGTCACATATCTTGAAATGCGGTTGCATCCTCTTCTACATTTTCTTTTCGAGCTATCCTTCCATAACTTGAGCATCTCCACATGTGAAATTGGGATTTCACCCTCTTCCATCCAAGCTATTTTCCATAGCTTGAATGCTCCCACACATGGGTCTTGAATGGTCCTTTAGGACTCCATCTTCTTAATCAATGAGTGTATAGCTTGAAGATGTTAACTTGAGACTCCTTGAAGCACTTCAACTTTGGTGAAAGTGTTCCGTGGGCCAAAATTGGCTTGATTTCATGCTTCATCATGTATCCTAATCACCATTAAGCTTCTTGTGCTTTCCAAGGTTGTATCATCCTTTCCTTATTGAAAAGGATTCTTCCTAAAATCCAGATTTAGCAAAACCATAAGGAAGACAAACAACAACAAAGTCCTCAAGGCATAAGGGTTAGTGTTAGTGTTAACAATCCTACTACCAACATGTCAAGCATGCACAAACTTGTTATATCATCTAGCATCAACCATTCTTATCAAGAACAAATTTTCAAATAAAGCACAAGGTACTTTATTATTTAAGAGACCTTGACCAAAGGGTAAATCAAGAGAGCCAATACATTTAGGAATCCAAGCATGCAAGTTCTTGTTGGTTCTATTGGCCAATAAGCATATTTATCCCCTTTAAGTCAAGAAACAAGTTATAAAACCAATGGCGAAGGGCAACGTCATAAACAAGGCCAACGTTAAGATTCTACCTAATGTACTAGCCCATCTAAAACTTTGAATCACTACCAAGTTATCACCGGGTCAAATACAAAGGTATTATTCCCCACAAATGGGCAAATATGGCTATATGCCCATAATAGGTAAAGTAATAACATCAACAAGAATCACATTACTAAAAGAAAAGTGTTAATACCATTCTCATCACACAAAGATGTTACATCCATGGCTTTACAAAACCCAAGAATAAGCATGAACCACATATACATACCTACCTTGAAGGAAACACAAAAAGTGGCTTCACACACAATTGTTTTTCCATTATGTTTCTTTAATGGCCATCTTTCTTAAGTTTCCTCCTTGGATAAGACTTCACAAACAAGTCAATTAAATAGTTAAGTTCATCAAAAGAGAGTTTTACCTTCTCTAACACGACTTTGGTCTATCAAGTGGATTATAAAACCTCAAGGACTTGGTCATGGGGAAGGGTGCCAACAACTTCACCCCCGTCTCGCTTGTCTTTATGACCAAGCATCACCTCACAATTAAGGGATCCATGATCCCTCAAGAAGAAAGTTCCTCCACTAGGAATGTGTCATCATCACATAGTGATTTACCAAATACCTTGTAGCCTCTAGAAGTGTCTACATCTAAACATCACACTCATACAACTGTGATAAGTTGATCATAGTCATGTCATCATCAAATAAGATTGTCTTTTTATATGACCTTGAGCAATTCTCTTCTTATGAGCTAGCTTTTAGGCTTAAAATTTATTTATTTACCGAGATGTCTACTTGATATGGAAGGAATTCTGTTAATTCTCCTTTAGGTTAAAAAAATCCTTACTAACTTGCATGCAAATTCGAGTAACATGAATATTTTTGGGTCGTTGATCTTACAGAGAATAGATAACTTCATGGTGTCTCCATGTTTATTACTATGTCTATTACTATAATTACACTTAAATTGAGTTCTTCCAAACTGACCTTTTTCTCAGCGATTCTTTATAGACCAGGACGTTCAATTTTCCGTTATTTGAGATGTGAGAAAAAAAGTGTCAACAATTGGTGAGGAATCCAGTCCGTGACTAGGTTGGCCAGCTTGGCGAAATGGTCGAGAAAATAGTCCATCAACTGTAGAACCTTACGACGAGCCAAAATTTGGTCACACACCGATCAAGGTCATTAGGAAGTTTAGCAAGTGTGCGATCTAGAAATATCGTCAGTGATTGCCCATGTTGCTTCAACACTAGTATTATTTGACATCAATTTCTATAATTCCTTTGTGATTGCCTGTACCCGTCTCAAGTAAGTAGAAATACCCAATTCCTCTTTCTTTAAGTTTATCATTTGAGATATACCATATTATAAAAATGAGAATATGCCATTAGTGTATTAAGAGCAAGCCTTTCTCAAACAAAATAACATGTCTGAAATGGATGAAACAAAGACCTTAATTTGGAATTTGAGTAAGTTGCCATATGAGACTAAATAGTTGAGCATCAACTTTTTCCCACTGTGCGTGGCCCTTTTCACCCCCCTCACTAGATTTTTGTTAAGTGATCTTTAGTGCCTTGACCCTTGCACCACAACTCAACTGAGCTAGCCAAATTTAAATGGTTTCAACTTTTAAATATGGGTGTAGAAGTAATTGTAGGACTTGAATTTTCATTTCCCGCACCCAAGGGTGTGACCTAGTAATCAATGAGGTAGGTTGAGTACCATGAGGTTTCTGGTTCAAATCCCAGTGGAGACAAAAAAACACTAGGTTATTTTCTCCAATCGGTCCAAGCCTTGGTGGACATGGTAAGTACCTGTTGCTGGTGGGGATGGCAAGTATCTTATGAAATTAGTTGAGGTGCGCGCAAGCTGGCCCGGACACAAAAATTATGAAATAACAAAAAAATTCCGATTCCCCATAAGTATCAAAATCCAAATGACATAATACTCCACAAAATATAATGGATAAGGTGACAAAAAGTGCAAAAGAAGATGTGAGAATAAAATGAGGAGATGTCACAGCTACAACCAAGGTACACAACACAAATTAAAATAGTGGGAAACACTGTTGAAATGAAGTGGACTGAAGAGTATTTTCTTTAGATTCTTCTTTTTCTTCTTTCCATCTACTTTGTTCTATCTAGTGGTATTATTACTTTTTTTTTTTTGAGCAAGGTAAAGTTATATTCCTCAGCAATGTAGGTATGCTGTCAACCATCAAAAACATTACAGTGCAAGTAATCATAATTACAGATAGTCTAAGAAGTCTACTGTCTGTTCTACCTCATCTATACCCTCTTCTTTACACCAAAGATATAAAGTATTAATGCAGTTTTCTTTTACTTTCTGCATTGGATTAGTAATATTTTCAAAACATCTATTGTTTCTTTCCTTCCAGGCTGACCACCATATGCAAGAAAGGACTAGGCTTCACCATTTTTTCTGTTTTTTACTCCCACCTCTTCTCATCCAGCAGGTTAGAAGATCTGCCGTATGCTCAGGCATCAACCATGGTTTTTAAATGTGATTAAGAAACATGTGCCACAGCTGAGAAGTCACTCTACAATGGAGGAACAAATGGCTATTTGTTTCCTCCTTTTCCTTGCAAAAGAACCACCTTGCGACAATCTCAAAACCTCTCTTTTTCAGTTTCTCCTGAGTGAGACAGCTCTTCTACAAACCTTCCACGTGAAACCCTTAATCTTGGTAGGGATATTAGATTTCCAAGGTCCAGGGATGTTCCCAGGTTGTGAGATCAAAATTTCTTCTGTACAATCTTCCGACTGAAAATTTTCCATCCCTATCATGTCTCCATCTGATTATCAAGGCTGGTATTTAAACCAGAGAAATCATTCAACCTTTGCAGTAGGCTGGCCACACTCTCAATCTCCTAGTCATTTAGAAGCCTCCTAAAGATGATATTCCATCCTTGGTTAGTCCAGGTCTCAGCAATGGATGCTTCAGGAGTGCCACAGAAAGAAAATAAATCTGGAAAATTGTATTATTACTATCTTTCTGTTAATTAAATTCTTCGAGTAGGGTAGAAGGTTTGAATTTTGGCTCTTTTTTTGGAGGGATTAGGCTTGGTGGGAGTCTAGAAGCACCGCGTATGCCACAGTATTAGCTTTATGCATGTAATTTCTTGCATATGATATCTGTTACCATCTGTTGTCTTTTGTGTTTCAGTTATCGCATTATTTCCTTGCTATTACTATTCTTTTTCTGGATGCCCTATCCTGCTTGCGTATTAATTGACCATTTTTTCCACTGTCATATTTCCTTTTTCATAACTACTTCTACCTCCACGAGGTAGGGGTAAGGTCTGCGCAAACTCTACCCTCCTCAGACCCCACTTGTTCAATTACATTGTATGTGTTGTTGTATCTGCTGAAACTTGATGAAAAGATGCTTTGTGTGTGTGTCTGTTTGTATATGTATTTTTGATTTTCATGTATTGAAAATCTTTATTGACTACAATGTCAATTTAAGTGTCAGAATGCCCTTGGTTTGACTAAATCCTTTTTGGACTCGTGTTAACTTTAGATCAATACATGGGGCTACTCAACAATAAACTTTTTTGCTCCAATGAGTCGATATGCAAGTTGTGGTGGCGGACCTGTCCGTGCTTCCTGGGAGTTAAAAGAAATGGTCAAGGCCTTGCATGGTGCTGGAATTGAGGTTTTCCTTATATCAGTGTGGTCCTTAAAGAGCTTGCTATACATGTCCAATATGTCTCTTCTACCTTTTCAACCATCTTTCTGAAGATGTTAGTTTCTCTTTTTCACGGTTTTTCATTCTACAGGTCATCTTAGATGTTGTTTATAATCACACAAATGAAGCTGATGATGAAAACCCATATACAACCTCATTCCGAGGAATAGACAACAAGGTAAAGGAACTGTTCAACATAATAGTCAGTATTTGGAAAGTTATGAATTAGATCTTTATTGCACACAATGTACCTTGGTAGGTTACTTTGTCTAGGGAAACATCTACATTTTCTGGTAGCAGGTTCTGGGGGTGGGGTGGGGTATTGTGTTCGTTAACAGATAACCATTTTAGTAATCAACATCATCTTTGAACTAAGTCTTGATTGATGCATCCACCCGCCACAAGAAAAGTTGTTTGCGTAACTTTACGGAGCTGCTCAACTGGAGTGGCCTCTGATTATGGAATTTGGCAGTGTTTTTACTTTCTGTTCTGCAGATTATTATGGAGTGCATAATCTACTATCATATGTAGTTAAAATGCTAGAACTTGCTTCTTTTCCCCATTCCTCTGCTATAAATCTTCTCTGTAAATCTGCATCAGACCGATAGTTTAGATGAATTTAACTCAATTCTTTTTTTTTTCTCTATAATGCTTTGTCTCCCTCAAAAACCAGATGAGACCAGGCTTACTTTGTCAAGTTCTAAATCAAACTATTCATATCTGATGTTGTGGATGCAGTCTGAATTTCTGTTATTCTATACAAAAGATTTGTCTCTCTGTTTCCCCACCCTCTCATAAATGATATTTCCTTGCCCTCTCAATGGCAGGTTTATTACATGGTAGATTTGAACAACAATGCTCAGCTGCTGAATTTCTCTGGATGTGGTAATTTAACAATACACTTTTTTACCATTGAATAAAAGGAAAATCTGCAAAGGCAGTTCTGAACACATCTTTAAAATACTCTCCAGGATATTTCAATGGTTATTTGAAATTGTTAACCTGAGGCAGTTTCCTAAGGAGCAATTTTGGCAATGTTATAGGCGAATGATTTACTCAACTAGATTTTTACAAATATCACTCCACAAAAAATATATGTACGGAACGGTACAAAATATACAATAAGGGCCCGAAAGTGACCAAAAAAGACAAATATATACAACGAACCAAACCTCGAACCAAACCTCGGACCTGGTGTCACCGATATAAGAGCATCTAAAGTACAATAATAGGACTACAATCTGTCAAACAAAATACAAAATATATGGACCTACAAAAGAGAGAGAACAACAAGTCCCGAATGCCTAGAGCTCACCACGATCTAAGCAGCGACGGCCTCGTGAGATCAGGAATCAGCGAGGGTGGCTCGTAATAAGCATTGCATCAGAAAAAGATACAGAAGTGTAGTATGAGTACCAAAACACTTCTTACATTCACTTAGAGTGACTTCACTTCACGTCTTACAATGTGAGAACAAATTGGATTTGCTTCAGTACACTTATTACATTCACTAAGAGTGAGTTCACTACCATTAGAACCTCATTATCCCTTGCTATATTATATTTGCACCATCTTTGATCTTCACCCACATCAGTATTTCTTGCCCTGGTATTGCTCCTTGACAGAATAAAACATGTTCTCAGGAAGATCCTTGCTTTCTTTCACCATTCTTGTTGTCTACCCGTCTCAACTAGGTTTATTTTGTTTAACCCTTCTCAAATTAAATCAGGGTGAATCTAAAATTTAGCTCAATTTAACACTATTTAAGTTTAAAGAGTATTTGATTTTTAATATAATGGTTAGAAAGAATTTGTTCATCATTCCAAATGGATTCTTTACAGATTGGTTATTATTCACTTACTTCAACTGGTAATAATAATTGGAAATGTAATGAGGCAGTTATTTACTTATTTTTATGATGTTCCAGAAAGGATGTTGTCGCTTGATTATAAATTGACATATCCTGAAATATTTTCACATGGGAGTGAGGCCCAATTCTTTATTGCAGAAGGAATGTTATGGAGTTGAACCATGGAGGAAAAAGGGGAAAAGGTCTAATTACTAATGTTTATTTTACTCCATACTTGTCAGTTCTTAGTCCATGCAGTCATGGAACTTCAAGATTTATAATTGTGTTTGACGTTTTAATGCATACTCTTGCATATTTGCTTTTTCTTTCTTTTGCTTAAAAAGTTGTTATCTTCATTTAGTCTTTGGTAAGAATTCTGAGATGCAATTCTTTGGTCTTTCCAGGTAATACTTTTAACTGCAACCATCCTACCGTCATGGAACTTATACTTGAAAGCTTAAGACACTGGTACTCACTGATTGATATCAATATACTGTTATTTTAGTCAAAATTAAACTAAAGATTTTCTTAATGGATGCGGTTATTTTTTTTATGGCAAGGGTACCTGTTTTTGTGGATGTGGTTGTTGTTTTCATTTGTTTGCACAACACCAAAAAAAAAAAAACTTGCAAATTTCATTATTCTCCGTACTTGTTCAATGTCCATAAAGTGTGTCACAGGCACCTTTACTCTCCAATTTGTCTTATTCCCCTCTAGGGTCTTTTAGTGATAGCCTGATAGGCTCCACGGGTATTGGACAATCCCGTTTGAAATACTTAGTGGCTAGTGTATTATAATCAATAAGTTCTCTTTTTCTTTTCTGTTGCTGAAAAAAAGTAAATAGATAGACATATTTCTATAATTAGTTTGTTTCTCTTCTATCCCATATATCTATTTTAAATTATGTAATAATACATTTCTGATCTGGAAGCCTAGCTGGGGCAAGAATCTCAATATGTTATGACATAGCCTTGAGCCCTTAACCGACCTTTTACTCGGTCACATACACACAATGGTCTATGCAGACTTGCTGGTTGGTCAGTTGATGAGGATATATACTTCATCTTTGAATGCTTATAGTTTTCTTGAAATGCTGATATGTTCATAAAATTCACTATGTCGGCTTGCTCCTAGTGGATTTGATCGTCAACTGGATTAGTTTTTCCAGTCTTATTATCCCTCTCTTTTCGTCCTCTATTTCAATGGTCTTTTCATATGCTTGTTAATAGATGCGGTGCAGATACCTAACTGAAATTATTACTGGCAGAGTGATTTATCCTGGATGACTTGTTTGTTTCTTGACTAACTTTTTTTCATCTCCATTTGGTATCCTCTTCTACTTTTTGTTGGAGCAAATAAAGGGTCACCGAGTATCATGTCGATGGATTTCGCTTTGATCTTGCTAGTGTTCTTTGCAGAGGGACAGATGGTACTCCCATTAATGCTCCCCCCTTGGTTAAGGTGAAGCGTTTATATGCTTTTGTTTTTGATGGTGCATCAAAAAAGAAAATTGTGTGATGGAAAGTAAGTTAATAGTGAGGTGACTATTCCACTGCCATTAACAATTTTCATGTTCACCTCAACCCCTATCTATCATCATCTAGGATTATCTCCCTTCTTGTTTTATCTTCTTTTTTCTTGTCTCTTTGATTTCCCATGTCACTTAAAAATTCATTATAAATATGCTCAAGTCCAACTTTCCCTTGCTTAAGAAAAAGATGACTCCCTAAATTCAGAGAATGTTGAAAAGGATTACACGATGCATTAATGCTTGAGAATGATCAAGATGCTACATACTTGCAGGCCATTTCCAGAGATAGTGTATTGTCGAGGTGCAAAATTATTGCTGAGCCATGGGATTGTGGAGGCCTATATCTTGTTGGGAAGTTTCCGAACTGGGACCGGTAATATCTAAAAGAACTTTATTACTATATATTATTAGTTGGGCTTTTTTCATTTTTAGCACATGGCAGAAATTTATCACGTGCGCTAGTTGAAATAAACAAAACATATACACCTATATTATATGTATATTTATGTGACAATATGTATATTTATACTACAAAACCTATAAGCCGTATGATAGGGAGGTAACTGTCTTGTATCATTGGGGGGTAATCGGTGTACTCTATCTGCTGGCTATTTTGTAAATTAGATCACTAAAAGACATTTTACTTGATTTATCTCTTATTAATTTATCCTATAGTTGAAAAGGAGTGGAAGATCATCTAATGTGAATGTGAAAATTTGGTCAGTGACCTTGTTGGAGACCTAAAATTACTTTATATTATTAATTTGAGGCTACCAGCAGATCGTTGTTCGTAAACATGTCTGCTTGCAGCTCTCAAGGATGTTTTCGGTATTCTGAATTGTTGGAACTGTAAAGATACTGTATGAGATTGCTTTTGCAATTTTTGACAAAAGAACCAGCCCATATTCTATCTATAACCTAGGTCAGCCAAAAAGATGCAGTTAAGCTTTTCTACGCCTATTGGTCCCATGTATTTTCCTTGCATTTGTTTGGATTTCTGGAACACTTGTGGACCCCATTATTTTACCTGATGTTCATGAGACCAGACGCAGTTCAAATTCGATTTTCTTGAACAATTCTCAGTATGCAAAATTTACTATTACTATTGTATAGCAAAAATTAAAAATTAAAAATTATAACTTAGAACTTAAAACAAAAATTGGAAAAAGGCAATCACATACATATGATATATTTAATTATTTTTGTTTTCTCCTGATTAAAATGTTATTTTCAGAAGTCCTAAATATAAGGTTGCTTTGCGTTATACGTTCAATTTTATTCAATGTAACTACTTCATACAAGGTAAAATCTTCATCGCTTTTAAATTTCTAAAATTTCCGGGGTCTCTACTGTGTTTCAGATAGAGTAATCTTTGATGATTCCATCATCTATGATTGAGATATGAAAACTTCTGGATAGGTATCCTAAAATTTTGAACATTTCTATATATTTCAAATAAGGATTTAGCACATAAAATTTAGTTAATTTTAGAATGCTAATAATTATTTTTCAAATAAGGATTTAGCCAATTTTAAATACTAAATATATGAGTTTTTATATTTTTCAAATAATGAAAGATCTAATAGTTAGAACTTAATTAATTTTAAAATCCTAAATACTTGGATAATGTTTAAACAACAATTATTTTATGAAGTTGTAAATGATAATGTTGTCTATTATAAAGTCTTTTAATGAAGAGAAAATAATTCAATTAACATATCTAATAGTATAGATTAGCAACTCAAAAATCACCTAAAATTTCAAAATATTCAATATATGTACCTATAAAAGCTTTAATTGAAATTACTTTTTTATCGTGAAGTTTCATAGCATGTTCCTTATCTTTTTTTTTTTAGAAAAGGGTAACCTTGTATTCACACCAAAAGATTCATCTATCCAAAAAATGATGAATTGGAAACTTACATCCCACATAGGGTATTCCTTACAAGTTTCCTTTGAAATCAACTAATTCTATTATCTCCCCTATCAGATTTTGTTTACACCAAAAAAAAAAAGGTTAAACAATTCATTCTAATTTTCTGTAAGTTAAGTTTTTTTGTCCATCAAAGCACTTTGAGTTCCTTCCTTTCCAAAGAGTCCACCATATGCATGCGTGGATAGTTCTCCACCAGAATTCTTTTCTTCCTCTATTGCCAATACCTTTCCACCATGGCATGTTCCTTATCTTGATAAACATATGCAGGTGGGCTGAGTGGAACGGGAAGTACCGTGATGACATCAGAAGATTTATAAAGGTGACACCAATAGGAGAGAATCTGAATTTAAATTTCATTACATTTAAGTTTGTCAGTACAAACTTTTCCATTATCTGACCAATCAAGTGCATCTGAAAGCAACAGAAAAGGGACTAAATGTTTTCCACTGATATTAGCAGGTTTAAATTTCATATATTCATGATTTTAACATAAAATGGTAGACTTCTAGTTATGAAGCTAAAATTCACTCTACTGGAAACATCATTTTTTATTTAGTCCCTGTTCATTTTTACATTGTTAAGTCGGAACTTTAGTTTCTTTGGTGTATGTATCTTTTTTCCATTTTCAACTATTGAGAACCAAACAAGATTTTACAATTATACCAATTCACGCTGTTTTGACCATCCTACTGTGCCCCCTACCATAGAAAGCAGCTGCTAAAACTACATTTGGTACAGTTACACATTAATCCTCAGGCACTTGACAAGTACATACATATTCATAATCTGGGACAATTGTGGAATTTCCAGAGATGTATATTAGAATATGAATTGGAGATTCCAGGCACTAGTAATTGATATCTTCTAATTCAAATGCATTCATCCTTTAAGTGTAATGATAGTTGGATTTGCCATTTTAGTCTTTAAAATTAAGGCTTTGTTTTTCATGTAATGCGACTCCTAATATAACTTAACTGTTTAAAGATATAAGGAGATACAAGTGTTTTATTCAGTATATTCTAACTTTGACATTACAAATTATACTTAGCATAATCATTGAATGAAACTCTTGGAATTTTGAAATTACACTAACATTTTCTATATATTATGACTCAATTCTCAGGTTTGTTTGTTTATTATATGAAGTTGTGAGAATATAGATATTATCGGATTATCTCAATAATAACAGGAGAGAGTGTGTACTTTTTTTTATTGGAACTGGTAGTGTTGTATTCCTCGGAATTAAGGTATGATGGAGACTTCCAAAAAGGTAACAACAAGCTAAAACAAGAGACTGATTATCCTGAATGATTGAACAGGGCGATGCTGGCATGAAAGGAAATTTTGCAACCCGTATCGCAGGTTCAGCAGATCTGTACAGAGTAAGAGCTACAGCTTCCAGAATTATGCATTGACAACTAGAGAATATTCACAACACTGTTCCATTTGCTCTGCTTCTTAAGTACCTTTTCTTTCTTTACTGATAATATTTGAGAAACATTCAGTTCTATGTGGTAGCAAGTTGCTTCACCAGTCCTATTTGATTAGATAGGTTTAGCAAAGCATCTGATTTGTGTCAATGCATATGGCTAGATTCTATACGATCCTTTTTGTTTATTGAGTTAGTAGTAGTATTTATGTGTCAATTCCTTTATATTTTCATCGTACTTTATTAACATGATCATGCCATTTTACATGTAACTGTGAGTGCTATCACATAATATATCATTACACAGTTTGTTTTCATTTATTACCATCTCATTTAAGCTGATTTCATTTGGAATACCGAGTTTCTATTTATCCTTTCCTTTCATTGTAAAAGAAATCTTGTGGATTCTAACCATTTTTATTTAAGAACATAGTCTATCTTTTACTTGAAGTAAGTAGATAAAACTTCCTATTTATGAAATAAAAGATCAATTGTATTCAGAGGTTCTAGTTTTGTATTTGTGTTATTTACTTAAATATATAATCTTGAATCAAGTTTTAAGTTCTTTTCATTAAACTTTGTAGTCAAGGCACTGTACTATATCACTTTTCTGCACAAAAGTATCACGAGAACAAATAAAAAAGAGTTAATGAGTTCGTAAGTAAATAGGAGTCTTTCTCAGTCAAACTCTTTTTTTTTCCCTCCTCTTACCTCTCTGTGTACCTCATGGACTTCTCCTTTTCTTTTACTCACAAATCACTATTTTCTTCACTTGACATCCCACTCACTTCACACAACACTACCTCTCCTCTTCCCTTTCTTGGGATGTCTACATGTATTTGCTTACTCCTTCCATCTTTTCTCTCTCATCCTTATGTTTTATGATTTATCTCAATCTTTCCTAATCTTTACTAGGTATTTTTTTGTGTAAATCAATTGATTTTCATCAAAAAACTTGAAACATAAGCGGTGTTCTATGCCAAATAACATTGAATTCTTTTTATGCTGCCTCAGTTTCACCAAGCTCATATATTTTATTTTATTTTACTTTTCATAGGTGAACAAGCGAAAACCTTACCACAGTGTCAACTTCGTGATTGCCCATGATGGCTTTACTTTGTATGACCTTGTTTCATACAATAATAAGGTATCAGTTACGTTTACTGCTCTTTATTGTTTTGAAACATGAAACTTGTACATCATCTGGATTCGGAATGGTGAAAATTACAGCACAATGATGCGAATGGTGAAGGTGGCAATGATGGATGCAATGACAATTTCAGTTGGAATTGTGGTATTGAAGGTAAAGATGAGGTTTTGATCCCACTTATTTTTTTTTCCTTTCATACTTCCTGATTTCCCTGGTATGAACTAAAACTTTTGTTGCGCCTTCACGTTCTTGCTTGCATAACAAGCTATTAATTTCCTCTATCATGCTTGGTACTTTAACTGTTTAACTAAGATTAAGTTGTTCTCTCTTTACTTGAGGGAGCATATGCTATTCCGAAGTCCAAGACTTTTAGCAATAATTTTCTTCCAAGGATGGGTGCTGAGGATGTAAAGTTTGTTATATCCTCCAGATATTAAGCCCTACCTGTTTTGTTTCTCTTGCTTTTGTTTAACATTGTGTCACTACCAATTATGTGTTATTTGTAATCTCAAACTCCTGGTCTACTGTATAGTGTTAAATAATAAGGGTCTGCATAGTAGCACCAAAGGGTGTGGCCTAGTGGTTAATGAAGTGATTGAGAACCCCGAGGTCTCAGGTTTAAAACTCAGCGGAACTAGATGATTCTTCCCATCTATCCTAGCCTTGGTGGACAAAGTTACCTGGTACCTGATGTTGGTTGGAGGTGACAGGTTAGAGAGACATGGTTGGTTGAAAAGAGTACTAGCCAAGTATTAGCAAAAAAATGAAATAAAATTGGACCAGAGGGTATATTTCAGAAAATACAATCAGATTCTCTTGATAAATGTCCCTGGAAACTAAACTGGTCTACTGTTGACTCAAAACAAACTCCTGAGTGCAAGAAGAAATGGCAGATGTCACCCGTAAAACAAAGAATTCTCTGGAATTGAATATATAATTTTCCGGTGGACGGAATAAGAAGATATCTTAATGGATAGCCTCAGAATTATCTGTCGAATACGACAGAAGAAAAATTGTCAGAAGTTGGGTGGTATACCAAACACACACCCCATCACGTTAATCACGTGCTCGCCGGAACCCTAGTGTTTATCAACGCGTGAGACTTCATCTGCCTAATAACTCGACTGGGGTTTGATCTCCAGGGCGCTGAATCATGGTAATGTTGGTTTTCACACATCACCGAAAGAGGGATAACATAAATCAGATCTGAACAGTCACTAGACAGAATCCACAGCAACTGACTTTTTGCCCTAGATGTTTCTCACTGTTGCTAGGATATCATGTGAGAAATAAAGGTACTGAAAAATATTACTAAAATGTATGTACATAACCCCTATTTATAATTATATTCTACGCAGCACATATTACATAGTAATGCTTTTCCATGTGAGACACTATATACATTAATATTCCAACACTTTCTTCTAATGATTTAAATCAGGAAAAAGACATAATGGATTGTTGTAGCCAGCAGTGATGTGGCAAATACAGAAGTGTGACCATGAATATGATGTGTTTGCTCATACTAGTAAAACAACTAGTTGTAAGTCTTCTGAATGGTTATGCCTGTCCTCCAAGAATGAAGTGAATACTGTATTGAGGTAGATGTTAGTGGAATACCCAGCTGGACATACCAGCCACGAAAAGAGAGTGCAGGTTCAAAACAAGTAGTGTAGATTATAAAATAATATAACATGAACAAATGATGAATTCATCCTTCCAACTAGATAATAATGCCTTGACTGCGATACATTGATTTTTGGCTTTAATAAACTAGCTTTGTCCACTTGTACACTGAGCCTTTGCTTGCCTATGATATTTTTTTTCTGTAGTATATTCCATTTCAGATCTACTTTGCTGTTATTGTCTTCAGACTTCATTGACAGACTCATATCAGTATCCATTTATCATTTTTTTCCTTCGTTCATGGACACAATGTACTAGATTCAGAATCTAAGGTCAGCCCAAGCCCCAAGCTTTAATCTAATTGCAATCCGCACCTACTAACTGAAACAGTTTCCACACTGAAGTATTTCGTTTATGAGTGATGGTATTGTTTCAAATCCAGTCTGAAAGGCTATCATCTTCTTGTATCTTCTTCCAGGTGAAACTTCAGATGCAAATGTTAACGAACTGCGTTCACGGCAAATGAAAAATTTTCATTTGGCACTGATGGTTTCTCAGGTGTGATGCATCATCCGTTCAGTTAACAGCATATGCGTTTCTTTTCTTGCGTATATTGAGAATTAGTCGGTAGCTTATATACTAGATCTCATAATTCTATTTGTCCTTAGTTCACAAATTCTATTTTTTCTCTCATTATTTTTTTTTTGCGACTATTGAGTTATTTGTTTACAGTATTTCTCCCTCATTGTTCAACCAGAAATAGAACACTGTCATGGAATTTTAGGGCCACACTTTTGACATATTATAGCAAATTTCAGATTTTAGTCTGTTTTATCTAATTTTGGTTGAAGTATTGGTTTCTGAAACCCTCATAAAAAGGATTATTTTGACATACTATGGATACTAATTTACTTGGTTATTATATCTTTCCTGGATTATGCCTGTCTTCAGTAATTTTCTTAATAGTGTCATATGCACATTAGATGTCCCAACCCTATTGTTGTTACTTAAGTTTACCTTCCTAAATTTTTGTACTTTCTTGGATTATAAGGGAACACCAATGATGCTTATGGGTGATGAGTACGGGCATACCCGCTATGGAAATAATAACAGTTATGGACATGATACCGCCATCAACAATTTCCAGTGGGGACAAGTATGATATTATGTTTTCTTGCTTGTACTTCTTTCCTGCTACTGCAAGTAACCCAGTGAACTTTGTCAATCCAGTTGGAAGCAAGGAGGAATGATCACTTCAGGTTCTTTTCCAAGATGATAAAGTTTCGACTGTCCCATAATGTTCTAAGAAAGGAAAATTTCATTGAGAAGGTAATGCTATTGTCTACCTGGTGTCATGCTTAACTTTACTGGCAATTGTATTACTAAGAGGTAATTTATTTTGAAAACTGAATGTTATGTTCTGTGTTTCATTTGTGGCAGTATCTTTGTCTTTAAATATTAATGCATCAGAAAAAGCTAATGAAAGAGTTCCCTGCAAAGAAATGATACCGAGTATGTGATCAAAACGGTAGTATTCCTATTTAGACCTTCCGTTTAATGGTTGGTGCTGGTGTAAGATAACCTGGGGGTACTCCAGGTACTGATCTAAGTTGAATGGTCAGAGTATTTGGGGTTCTCTTTGTGGAACATACTTAAATGGTGTTTCTTCACATGATATACAGTTAGTTTAGGTTGTCTCATCTATGATCCACTGGTCCATTTATTCACAGTATCCTTGTCAATGATCATATGTTTGGAAGATTTGATAAATGTTAGACCCCTCAACTACTGATGGTTCTCTTCAAGATGTTTGAGATTTTTCTAGCTATTTGAATCGTTTGGTGCCTCTGATTTTTCCAAATAGGTGGAAAGAAGCAAAAATTTGATCCAATAGGTGGAACTGTATATTGATTCATTTCTAATACATTATGGGTATTGTTTATCCAATGGGGGGAAGAAGGACAGAATTGATCTAATAGATGTAAGGAGGGCAGTTTTTTTAGCTATTTCAATGTTACGTTAAGGGCATTTTTGACCCTTTTCTGTTTTTTGTTTTTTTGGGTGGCAGTGGGGTTCCATTGTAGTACTTAGTGTTCTCTAGCTCTGCATAATGCTGTCTCAATTCGACTATTCTGATGGATTAGCAATCATTACTTTGCAGAACGACATTACCTGGCTCGAGGACAACTGGTACAATGAAGAGAGTAGATTCCTTGCATTTATGTAAGAATAAACCCTATTAATAATCTCCATCTTATCATCTCTGATTCTAAATCATGAATTCACTCACACACTAGAATCAGTCCTCTTTTTAGGCAAGTTTTTGTACGGATTGCCGCTATTTTGGGGTGGTCTTTAATTTTTACCCCTACTGCTCATTCAATGAAAATTTGTTGTCCAAAGTACCCTTAACTATGACTTAATTTCGCCGGAAAACCTTTTTGTATAATGTTTGCCCTAGGGCATCAGCTCAGTGCTATCAAATTCTTAAGGCAAACTTTATGCTTAATTTGTTTTAAAAAAAATTGTTAGGCATAGGTTATGCCCTATTAGGCACAAGTTCACACTACTGAACTTATGCCCCAAGACATAAGTTCGTGTATGAACTTCTTAAGGCATAATGTTTTAAAACCGAACTTATATCTCAAGGCACAAGTTATGATGCCATACAAGGCATTAGTAAAATTTTAGAACATTATGTTTTACTAGACATAAGTTTCGTGTTTGAACTTTATGCCTTAAGAAGACATATGACTGAACTTGTGCCCCAAGGCATAGGCATAAGTTATGCCTAAGGCAAAATAAATTTGCAAGGCATGGATTATACCTATAAGTTGTAAAAATGAACTTATGTCTTATAGGGCATAACCCGTGCCTAGTAAATTTTTATTATTAGGGGTATTTTCGTCTGCCGTTTTATTACTTTAAGTTCTGAATAGAAGATACTAGAAAGCCACGAATTTGAGTGAAAGAAGTTAAAAAACTACCCAAAATAGGGGCAATCATGTGAATGATCCTTTCTAAAGCTGTTTTCATATGGTCTGTTTCTTTTACACTGAGCTTTTTCGTGTTTTTCTTCTATCCCTTAATTTTCAGTTGCACCTGTGTTCTTGATTTTAATTTGTCAACCAAAAATTTTAATGTGACAAGCTCAAAATTTAGGAGCTTTTCTTTTCGCATGAGTGAATTTGCATATTGGATTCTCTTTTGTACAATGTAGGCTCCATGATGGGAATGGAGGAGATATTTACTTGGCATTTAATGCACACCACTTCTCCATCAAAACAGCAATACCTTCACCACCACGAAATAGAAGTTGGTACCGAGTGGTAAGCTATTCTTATTATTATTTTGTTTTTATTTTTTTTTAAAAACAATTACCCCTCCCTAGGAGCTCCACCTTATTGTCCTGTTATTAGTTAAAGGAATGCACTTCGTTTACACATCCAAAACATGAGATAGCCTCTGATTTTGCTCCTGCTCTGATAGTTTGGTTATTCTTTCTTGTATTTTGGATTTGTGCCTACTGATTTGGAAATTATAGGTCGAAGACAAAGTGTTGTATTATATCCTCATGTTAACACCTTATTAAGCGTCTCTAGTGCTCAATACTTGGCTTATGACCGGGCATGAGTTGGATTTTATGAGAACAAATACCAGGAGGGATTCCAATAATGTCCGCAATAGTCCACCCAATAGCTCTTTTGAACCTTTTTAGCACTTTCACCAGACTCTCAACTTGTTCATTCAGGTCTGATGCAATGATTACCGGCAAAGTGTCACCATTTCCTAAGAATTCATACCTGAGATGAGGTGGGAGAGCGTTTAGTTCTAACCTTAGAGCCTCCTCTATGGATAGTTTCGTGGGTGGAGACTCGCGATTCTTCATATCTAACTCATATTTCTTCGGTTTAAACCGAACATCACCTCGATCAAAAGCCGCGACTAAGACTGGCAAACGGACAGGACCGGGTCAACAGGACCGGTTTTATCGGTAACTGGACCGGTACCGGTTTTTTCTTACCGGATTTTACCGGACCGGTTTTACCGGAAAAGTCTCCCTGTTCCGCTCGATCCATTAGTAACCGGTTTGGAACCGGGTTGGACCGGTTTGGAATCGGGTCTTACCGGTTCTTCCGTTTTTTTTAAATTTTAATTATTTTAATTATTATATAATATTATATATTTATATTAAAACTTCAATTAAAAACTTTAAAGTTTATATAAGTTTGAAATTAAATTTATACTTTAAAGTTTATATTGAATTTAAAGTTTCAAATTGAATTTAAATTTTTATATTGAATTTAAAGTTTTTTAAACTTTATATTGAATTTAAAGTTTGAAATTAAATTTAAACTTTAAAGTTTATATTGAATTTAAAGTTTTAATATAAACTTTTATTAAAATAATTAAAAATTAAATTTATAAAATGACATGAAATAAATAGAAGAGACTATTATAAAAAAAAAAATCAAGGCGAATAGCCGTATATTTATTCAAATAAATAAATTATACAATACAAATATTAGAAAGAGAATAAGAGTACATAATTTAGGAGGAATTGAATAGTAAATTAGTAATTATTATACTAACAATTCCATTTTTTTAAAAATTCTTTTTGTAAATTTTGTATCATTTGAAAAGAAAGATTTTTTGGAATTGGCATTTGTCGTTCTTCTTCCATTGCTTCCATGCCATCATCACTATTCTCACCAAATATTTCATCTATTTGGTCTTCTATATGGCTACTTAATAGTGGTAGTCCGGTGTTTCTTCTTTCGGCATTGACCCAATCTCGAAACAACACCGATATTTCCAAACTGTCCTTTGCTAATGAATATCGATGATCTCCAATCATAAATCTCGCTGCACTAAAGGCTTGCTCCGAAGCGACCGATAATGCTTGAATCGCTAGCACATCTCGAACAATCCTAGAAAGGGTCGGAAATTGTTTTTCACGATTCTTCCACCAATTTAATATTCGAGGTTGAAGTTCTCCTTCGTCACGCCTAATCTTTTCCCGTGCCTGGTTGAAATATAAATCAAAATCATTATTAGTTTCATCACTTTCAAGCTCAAGATACTCATCCATCATATCATCCGTATCATCACTTTTAGGCTTAGAAGATGAAGGTTCAACTATTGGAATTCATGTTAAAATTTAAAACAAATAAATATTAAGAGAAAAAAAGCAAAATAATATAATAAAAGAGATAAAATAACTAAATTAATAAACAAATAACAATTAAAGTTAATAGTTGGAACGAATGTACCAAACGTCTATGTAAAAGTAGACGTATAACCAAAGCCGGAGTTGATAAATGCCGATTGTAGCTTCGGAAATTCAAACTTCAACTCAATATCACAATATAATAATTAATAATTTATGAGAGATTTATAATTGAGAGTTTGAGACTTTGAGAGATTGTATAAGTGTTGAATTTGTGATTTAAAATGGAAAAAAATGGTATATTTATAGTGTAAATGGGTTAGAAGGGGGTGGGGGTCATATTTGACCGTTTTGGGCCCCAGCCCAACGGCTAGAAGGGCCTAACGGTCATATAAAACGATAACATTAAAAATATAAAAAAAAAATTAAAAAAACCGGCTAAACCGGTTCTTACCGGACCGGAACCGGTTCTTACCGAACCGGTGTTACCGGATAAAAAACCAGGAACCGGTTCGGTACCCGGTCCTGTACACTAAAAGACCGGTTCCTTACCGGTTCAACCGGTACCGGACGGACCGGTACGGGAACCGGATTGGAACCGGACCGGACCGGCCAAAAACCGGTCCATTTGCCAGCCTTAGCCGCGACTAATGACTTGCACTCTTCAATACAATCGTTATCAAAATTCATTATCACTCCCGCTAATGTTTTTACACCTAGACGTTCTTCTATTTGTGTCTTAGATGTCTCACCAACGTTGTAGGATATAGCAGATACCGATTGGAGCTCACCACTCTGCCTCATTGACCTACAAATGTTAAAGGTCAGTTCCTCATTGTTCAATCGAAATTTCATCTGCCCCTTTTCCATATCTACTAAGGCTCTTTCCGTAGTAAGGAATGACCTCCCAAGAATAATGGACACTTCAAAATCAACTTCACAATCAAAGAATAACAAAATCTGCCAGAAATATGAACGACTCCACTTTTACTAGCACATTGTGGAGTATCCCTATAGGCTTTTTTATTGTTCGATCGACCATCAGTAGCCGCATCGCAGTGGGCTTTGGATCACCCAAACCCAACTTCTTGTAAATCGAGAAGGGCATGAGATTTATGCTTGCCCCCAGATCACATACTGCTTTCGCAAAATGTAATAGCCCGATTGTACAAGGAATAGTGGACGCACCCGGATCTTCTTTCTTTTGTACCAGAGATCTTGTAGCAATAGCACTACAATGCTGCATTCTATCATCATGTTCAAAAGTGACCAATTTTTTCTTTGTAACCAAATCTTTCATAAACTTGGCATAACCGGGCATTTGTTCTAGAGCTTCTACCAAAAGGACATTGATAGAAGTTGCTTCAACATTGTTATAAAACGTCGATATTTACCATCCTCGGTCTTTTTCACTAATCTTTGAGGAAATGGGGGTGGTGGTCTAGGCATGGGAGGTACCTTTTTAGGCACTTCAGCACCTTTTCCAGTGCTATCTTCTACCTCTACCACTTTATCAATATCTTTTGTCACCTTTTTCTCATTAGACGGCATAGGTGGATCAATGGTTTGCTTACCACCACGAGTAGTGATTGCCATACAATATCCGTCATTTTTTGGATTATGGACAGTGTTGCTAGGAAGAGTGCCCGGTTGCCGTGTGTTCACAGTCGCAGATAATTGGGCCAATTGTAACTCAAGCTGCTTAATCGATATTGCATGTGTATCGACTTTCTGCCCAATACCCGCTAAATCATTCTTCAACTCTTTAGTGTGCTTATCACTAGCATCGAACCTCCTCCTCATTTTATGCAACATATCCTCAACTCGCGCCATACTACCTCCACTATCCCTAGAAGTAACTTCACGATTTTGAGGAGGAACATAGGGTCCATTCCTATCACTTCTATTACCGTAGTTATCCCTGTTGAAGTTGTTGTCGTGGTTGTAATTTTCTTCTCGAACATAATGACCCTCACAGTTATAGTTACCATAGATCCGACCTTGGTTCCCTTGACCTTGGCGCCAATTCTCCTGATTAGAGTCTTGGGCACTCGGTCGAAACCCCCCTATCTGCTCATTTACCGCATATGAATCCTCCTCATAATAGCATTCATCATTTGGTGGTGGTGGTTTAGACAACTAGTTGACTGCATTTATCTTTTCTGCACCCCCAATGACATGTTTTAATACCAACCCAAGCTCAGTTCTCATCTGAGCCATCTCTTCACGAATCTCATCTGTGGCTGGGTTGTGAGTGGATTGTACTGCGAAGGTATTTCTCCCAGTATCTGACTTCCTAGTACTCCAAGCTTTATTGTTTTGGGAGATTTTCTCTAACTTTTCAGAAATCTCACCTAGTGTTGTGAATGGCGAGTGCCTCATCGCCTTTGGCGAGAGGCGAGGCTAGGCGAGGCCTCCTCGCCATTCCCTACTGAGGCGAGGCGGTATGCAAAAGGCGGCCCATGGCGACCTAATGGCGCTAGAAAAGGTGGCGCCTTTTTTATTTTTTATTTTAAAAATATTTGACTTAACAATATTAGTCAAAATTAGGGTTTTTAAAAATATTTTCAAAACCTGCTGCTGCACAATATTCTCCCCGACTCTCTTCTCCTCGCGATCTCTTCTCTTAGTCTCCATCATCTTCGAGTTGCTGTTGCTGAAGACATGAGGTATACCTCTTTTTTTCTATTCTTCTTCAATTTTCGTTTCAGACTTCCAGATCTGTTTTCTTCAAGTTTTCTTCACTACTCTTTTTTCCCGCTATTTTCTTCACTCTCTGTTTTGTCCCAGATTACTGTAAAATGCCTTCTGTTTTCACTGTGTTGTGAGTCTGTGATTGCTGTCCATTATTTTTTTTGAAAAAAAATTAATTAATTCTTTCTATATTAATTATTATAGTATTTGTAATATATGTAATTGCTATTAAAAATTTGAATATTATATGTGCAGTTAAATATTTTTAATTTTTGGTATTAATTGGCGCCTCGATAAAAAAAGGCGAGCGCCTCGCCGCTCGCCTCGCCGCATGGCGAGGCAGGCCCTTGTCGCCTCTCGCCGTCCAAAACACTGATCTCAGCATAAGGACACTCCCCATAAGAACCACCTGCTATAGTATCCAACACCGCTTTATTATTATTATCCTGTCCCCGATAGAAGTAT